CGCTAACCAGATTCATTGATTTCTATTACTGCCCTTGGAAAGGGGCTCGGAGGAACGCCCCGCTTCGGATGCCACGCGCTGTGGGCTTGGCCGGGAGCGGGAGATGAATCCCCCCAGCTCCAGCTTTTGCATTGCACAGCCTTGGCAAAGACAAATTTGTTTTTCCCCTTTGCCCAGAGCTGTGCTGTGCCTGGCCGAAGGGAAGGCAGCCCGCTACCCCAGTGAGCAGCTTGCTGCTGGGGAGCCCTGCGGCTTTTGCACTTGGACCTGCTGGTGGGGTTTTGGCGTTGACTCAAAGCACGGGCCTTTGTCCCATTCCCATTTTCTGGTTCTCTCCAGGTCCCTTTGGCATCTGCCCCGGTGAGCGGCGAGGCCGCGGCTGTACTGGCAGAGGGCTGGCGAGTCCCCACATTCAGCACTTGTCCCCTGCTCCTGAGCTGCGGGTGCCGAAACGGCTCCTGCCCCAGAGGCTCCAGGGTGGCCTGGGGTAGCGGGTAGCGGGTCAGTCTGGGGATGCTGGGAGCTGTGTTCTGCATGGAAAGGGTTGGAGGAGCGCATGGTCCCATCCCAGCCTGGGATAAATCAGCCTGGTTTGGTTTTGACGCAAACCAAGGGCAGAGCGGGTAGCAAGGCGGGTGCTGCCAGCTGCGCTCATGGTCCTGCAGTGCTGGTGCAAGGCCCAAACCCTTGGGAGATACTTGTGGGCTGGACCGCGGTGTGGAAGCAGCAAACTGCTCCTGGTGTCCTGGCTCTGCTGATGACTCCTCTCTCCCTCTCGTTTTGGCCTCCAGGATGACATGACCGACTCCCTGCGGGATTACACCAACCTGCCCGAGGCTGCGCCCCTGCTCACCATCCTGGACATGTCGGCCCGGGCCAAGTACGTGATGGATGTGGAGGAGATAACGCCCGAGATCGTGGAAGCCTTTGTCAGCGACTTTCTAGCAGACAAGCTAAAACCCGAGCCCATCTAAGGGGGGCTTCTGCGCCAACAGACGTTATTTAAAACTAGGTCTCTCTTCCGCCGCTCGTGGATTCTCCAGCGTGTCCTCACGCCCGACCCAGTATCCAACCTTCTTGTGGTGCCTTGTTTTACGCAGTGAATCCTTCTCCTAAGCAAACTCCTTGAGATGCACTTTCAGCAGGGAGTCGTTGGCGTTCGGAGACTTCGCTTGTGCTTCATGGTGATATATTCTCTAATAACCAGGCCAGAACTGTTACCGTATCGTTATTTTATACATGGCACTAGCTAGCAGGCAAATCTTTTTGCATGGTGTTCTTCCCAACATATGCATCAGGCAGTGGATGGGGTTCTCGGGGCTCTTTTCTTCTCCTTCTCCCCTTCTTTCCTTTCCTACCACCCCTGCTGACTAAGTGACTTTAAGGAAGCAATAAGGAAACTGTCCCCTTTGCCCCTGGCCTGTCCTCCTTTTCCACGCGAGTGCCCTGATGAGGCCGAGACAAAGTCTTAACTGCTGACAACCTCTGAAAGACCACGGCGCAGCCGAGCTCTTCCTCCTGGGCGTGAGAGCCTTCCGGGTGGGTTTCCCACCTCCCACCCCAAGCACCGACAGCCTTAGGCAGCGCTGGCTGTGCGTGTCGGGGGGGGTCACCCGCCTGCGATGGGTGGATGTTCCCTCCCTCCCTCTCTGAGCTAGGAGGAGGACCACCACCAGGCTGCCCTCACCTCTCTCGTCTCTCCCTTGTGCTCTCCCCATCCCTTCTCGCCCCTTCTCTCTGGTATGAATCGTCCTGTCCCCTCTATGTTAGTTGTTTGAGCTGTTTTTCGTAGGTGTGTCCCAAACCCAACGTTAATGGTGCTGTTCTTTAAAAAATAACCAAAAAAACCCAACAACAAAAAAAAAATCCCTCCCTAACCCAAGCAGCACAGCCGAGCCCCTGAAAAGTGACATTGTAAAAACTGTACATGGTGATTGGAACTTTGTAATAAAACCGTTATAATAACCTCGTCCTCGGAGGTGCCGATTGCCGCGTCCTGCCGTCGGGGAGAGGGAGCCCACCTGGGACCCACGCGGCAGGAGGAGCCCCCCATCCAGACCCCATGGGGTAGGTGTCGGTGCCGGCAGCTCCCAGCGCCGCGGGCGGGGGGGGGGGGCGCGGTGTGT